GTCTTTTATCTTTTTCTCACTTTTCCTGGCTGAAAGAAAGGGTAAGTAAGGGCTTATACAAATGGAGTTATTCTGGAAGAGCTATTCTAGATTATTCTAATTTAACTAGATTATTCTAATTTAGGTAGAGTAAGAGTACCATTTTCAAGTTTAAAGTAATTTGGAGTAATCAATATTAAATTGAAATGGGGGAAAAGTTATTTATCTGGAATAAATCCAAACAGCGCTGATCTAAAATATCTATTCTGCTATATCCATCTATAAATTTACATTCTTTCTTGTTCCATATTAGTTTTTGTGTATAAACTTTTAGTGCTCAGAGGGGATACTACAGCTCTGCTTTGTTGATTTAGCATTCACTCTTCTGCTTTACAAGAAAGCAGGAATCACTAGAGAAGTTCCAGTAATATCTACAATCCTTATATGAGCTACAGCAGGCTCCCTAACTATGGATAAATGAGGTATACTATTTAAAGACTTCCCTAAGCTTTTATTAATAGTAGTGCCATAGGATGATCAATCCTATAAAGATTAAATGATTCTTCAAAAGTTAGATTTGGAATACCAAATAGCATGACTGAACATCTCTGAACACTTTATAGCTAAGGCAGACAGCTACTGAAGATAGCTCAGCACTCACTACTGGGGTCAGATTTTCAAAAAAAAGTTTAGCTTCCATCTTCTTCAGCTGAGATAGTAATACACATATTTCGAAGAGCTCAGCAGCCAGCCTGCTAAATTCTTTTGAAAATCTGGCCCAGTTGCAGTTACTGAACTCTGTTGAATATTCTAGCCCTAAAGTGAGTGGAATAGGAACCTGTGGAAGGTTAATAATGGCTTTCTTATAGGCATGTGCACGAAAGAAAAGCCAAATACAGCTCTAAACTCCTCCAGAGTAAATCTATTCAAGTCAATAGTTACCAGTTCTCTCTGCTTTTAAGCCTGAGTAATACCACCAGATTTAATCAGAACTGGCACTAGGTTTAACAGCAGCAGAATTAGCTCCAGTATAATCACTAGTGGAAGCACTGATCCTGGTGGATGTACTGAAGGATTTAAATTTTGTCTGATGGGTGTGAATGCAGAAAACTGAATTTACCTTGTACATGGATTGAACCAATTTCTGCATACTAAAGAAGTGACACATTCTTACTTAAACCTGCCATCAGTGGTGTCAGTCCACACACTTCAGTGAGTTTAATGCCACTCTTTATACTTTGTAACCATGCAAACCAAATCTGGATCAGATGGTAGGTTGAATCCTATTCATAGATTTCAGACATTAGGGCTGGAAGGGACCTTGCGTGATCATTGGGTCCAGCCCCCTGCCCAAGGGCAGGAAGTCAGGTGGAGTCATCTACATGAGACTTAATGCGCAGTAGACTAATTCTACTGTGCATTAGTGCATCACAGCAAAATCCATGCTGATGCACTCGCAGTAGAATTAATCTACCGCACATTAAGCGTCAAAAAAGCATGCATCTTTGCTACTCCGCATTTATGTAGTACCTCATATTAGAGGTACTAAACTGAATGCACAGTAGCAAAGGTGCATTAATGCACATGTAGATGTGCCTTCTCCTCCGGGAAAAGGACTAATTCACTTGCAAGGGTAACATCTTCTCTTGTTTACACTGAATCAGGCTCCACTAAAGTCGCACCAGTGCAACTGAGGGCAAAAGTTAAATGTATATAATTTGTAGAATTTGCAATCACACACTAAATGTGACAAACCTAGCCTGACACTCAGATTCTGGATGGAACTGTGATAGGTTCAAGTAAATTTCTTTTTTGCAAGTACTCAATCAATAATAAAGGCTCGGTATGCAGCAATGTCATACTTCCAGCAATTTTCTAAAAGCAGGGATACTTTAAAAGGATAGTTTCTTGCCTGTGATAAAACTGCTCTGGATGTGTCTGTGCCATGACTACTTTATGTTTAGATTCTAATTTTCTAGCTTTCATTAGCAAAGACTAATATGCAGTTCTTCTAAGGATAGTGACACACGTTCAACTTAACATTTATTAAGTGCAGTTAAAATGCAAGCAGACGTACGATCAAGCAGTCTAGCATATGTTAAATGCCCTTGTGGCATTGCAGAGTTGTTCCTTTTTAGGCAAGGGTTATCGCCTAATACATGCTAAATTTAGCAAGTCACTACATTCCAATAATTTGCAATTGTTGTAAGTCATTGTGCGATACCACCCTTTGTGTGGCATATAATTATCCGGGGTTGCTCATCTACCATACCTGTTTTGTGTATATTGATTTTTAAAATATGTATATGCTTGATGTAGCAAAGGTAATGCAAAATATATTATCTGCATAGTTTACTAGGAGTTAAAAACCAGACAAACAATGTCCATTTAAGAATCAAGCATGTAAGATATCATTACCATAAATGTTAATACTGCTACTAAAATGGAGCATGTCCTGGGCCTTGTAATTGCATGAATGAATCACTATGGAGAGCCTGCTTTTCTCACTATAGACCTACGTATGAATAGTGGATGGAACTGCATTATTCATGAGTTAGCATTTTCCATCCTGCTACTTGGTTTTTACTGCCCACTTGGGAAGTTTTTAGATTATTAATGAATAAAGAGTGAGACTATTCTCTTTAGAATGGAAATCAGATGGACCAAATTAAGACCTCCCATAGAAGTAATTTGCCTCCCATATATGCATTTAAAATGGTCCATGATGCTACTTTAATATGGAATTGCAAAGTTGGATATTTAAACAAGAAAGCTTGGCAAACTTTTGCACTAGATGACATACTTCATTATTTATGAATTGTAGCATTTCCTGTTACATAACAGGTTTTGTATAATATAACAATTAATGACAAGCTTTTGAATGTTTGTTTCTAAAAAAAACTCAAGGATGACTTGGAAAATTGTTTACTGTACAAATAAAATCACTTGTACACTAATGAGCATATTATTCAGTATTTTATAACGACATGAAACTTACTTGCGATAGGTCTAAATTTGGACAAATAAATTTATATTTCAGACAGGAACAGCAAGATATGCAAACAAATATTTAGTTTGATTGAGAATTTAGTTCCGTTAGTTACACAATTAACAGGGATGCAAGAAGGTTGAATACATCATCTCAGTATCAAAAAATATTCATTCTTAAATTATGTTTAGTATACTTGTGACACTATGGGAGTAGGTGTAAAAAGAACAAAATTACATAAAACACTGCTCACTGCCAAAATGCACGTACATAAAGACACACGCACGCACGCACACACACACTAGAATTACAAGTCTAGAAGGGCCAGAGAGTTTGGTCATGCAGGTGCCTACATTTTGCATTGGGATCTATCTAGGCACCTGCTTCAGGAAAGCAATTCAAATTGACCAATTTTAGGTGCCTAGGATCCCTACATCAGCAATGGGGAGCCTTAGGTGCCTCTAAAACATGATCCAAATAGAAAGGGTTAAGCATTTCAGTGTTCTATATAGGAAATGGGCAGACTTGGGAGGCTAGCCAATAGAAAACACTAAGCACAACAGCATGACTGAACTCTCTCTGCTCCTCTCTCCACACATAAGATAAGCTGCACATTAGGTGCCTCCATTCACTAAAGATCCAGAATGCCTAGCCATATTTCTGAGGGTAGGTATGCAACTAGAGGTGTTGATGCACCACCCACTTTTAGCCTAATAGAAGGAGCCAGAATGAAAAGATGCAAGGGGGTGTATACTCTGTAGCTGAGTCTTGAGGGCACTCCTCTGGATGAGGGTTGTCCTGGTTTCTGCTCCCTGCTCCTTGGATTGAATCTGCATTTTATATTGGACAGTCTTTGGATAAAAAAACAAAAATAATCCTGAGAGAAGGGATCATGTCTCCTCCTTTCCAACTGAGTGGCCTAAGCATGACATAATCAGGTTCTCTTTTTGCTTGCTTGTTCTTTGGCCCCACAGTTCTTGCATTCTTAGCTGCAGGGTGGGCCTGAGTCTTCCATAGAAGGGGTACAGATGCCCCCGTTCTCTCCCCGATCCCTAGTGGTTAGGACACTCCTGGGAAGCGGGAGATGTAGGTTTGAATTCTATTATTCCAGTGGTTCTTAACCAGGGTACCATGAAAATGTGCCAGGAGTGCCATGATGCTGGGTGCCACTGGGTAAAACTGCCCACATGTCCATTTTCAGGAACACATTGAAGCTGAACCAGTGTAAACTGTAGCATAACATAATGCAAGAAGACACACCTTTCTGCAGCAGCCACTTTTCAGTTCAGTTCCCATGAAGGTCCTGACAACCGAGACAAGTGGGACAGTTTTACCTGGCCTACGTGCCTGTTTCTGGGAGACACTGTACAGGATTAAACCAGGAAAGGCTGCAGCAAGAGCACATGCTCCCACTACAGCTGCTCCCAATCTGGCTCTGTAGGTGTGTGGTGCATTTCCATCTGGCTGCAGCAGCAGTGGTAGTGGAGTGAGTATATTATCATTTCATAATATATTTATATTTTTAAGTGGGGTGCCGCTACATTTTGAAAAGTTTTGGAGAACTGCCTTCAGTCTAAAAAGGTTGAAAACTACTAAGGTCCTCCCTTATACTAGGGAGGACCTAGAACTGTTGAGCGAGGCAAAAGGTAGGCCCCCCACTACTATCATTTTTACTTGAATGATACATTGCTGGTATGAGTTAGGCATACTTCAAGGATGCCAATCAGCTTGGCAGCCTTCAAGGACTTATGCAGAGCTTACGTGCCCCTGCCACACCAATCTGGATCACAGTGGAGCTCAGGGAGGAACTAGAGTACCTAGGTGATCAAACAGGATCAATTCTGAGTATGCACAGAGTACCAACCATTAATACCCAAGGAACTTCTCTGTCCAAAATGGAAGTGACAGATAATCTTAGATAACGAATGCACTTTGTCGCTGCTGGAACAGGGACAATCTGGATCCATTCTTTAGAATCCGTGGGCTCCTGTACACACGCGGAAATCCAGTGCGTTAGAGCACAGAAATTGGCACACTCCAGCAACCTTCCGTATCACATATATCAGTGTCCCCATGCATCTCCACATTGACAAAATGGCGGTGGGGTGCTTTGAAATAAAACACGTTCAAGGAGCTTTAGTTCAAAGAGCCCCACCACCATTTTTTCAGTGCGGAGATGCGTGGTGACACTGATACATGTGATGCATGGGTGCTTTTAATTAGCACGGCTCACTAATTAAAGCACCCGACACCGCATCCAGGAACGTGTAAAAATGCCCATTGGTGCCTAAATTCTGTCTAAATCCTATTTAGACATCTATAAAAGCAATGTGGGTCTGGCCCAAAGTATTGTTTAGCATGAAAAAAACTTTCCCATATATTTCTAAGAATGCAGCTATTTCAGCACATTGTATTAAGCCCCCACCTTCTAGCATGACATGAACATCACCTCCAATTTAATCCCTGCTCAGTTGATTGATAAGGGATAGTTGTACATTATAAAGTTTACAAAGCTTGGAGTGAGCAAAACAGGTTTGTTGAGATGAAGAGTTGATGAACAGTTGATCACTGTCAATACCCACTAATTTTAATATTTTTCTGTTAGAAGTGCTGCTGAAATACCATGAAAAATAAGGACCTACTTGAGCTATCCTAAGTGGGACACTTCTGTTCACTGGGTTATTTTCTTAAGGGATTTCTAAGATCTCAGGACAAGAATAGCTTCACCAACTAGAGGGTCTACTGAGTCAATGATTTTAAAGACTAAGTAGATAAAGACTTGAAAGCTTTCATGTCGAAAGGAAAATAAACTCTACAAAGATTCTCTAGGAGGGAATAAAAAGAAATTAAAAGGGAGGGGCTCAACTTTGTACTCAAACAATTTCTACTCCATAAATAAATCCTTACAAAAAGAAATGGCAATAGTCTGCCTCTTAGAAAAATCTATTGTAACAAATTTAAAGAAAAACATGTTTTACGTTAAATATTTGTATTTCTGGTGAAATCCACTGAATTTCTACAAGATATTAGAATTCTTTAGTGTATGCCATCAGAAATATTATTGTATTACCATGATGCTGACACATGAAATACCTCAATTAGATTAAAAATTAGGACATCTGCTGTTCCACTCATAAATGCAAGCGAAACTTATATAAAAGTAGTCTATGCTAGTGACTTGCAGCAAAGTGTTTGTATGTTAACTCTTCATTAAGCTTGACTGCCTGACACAGAAGTATACTCATCTGGAAATATGCATGCTTATATAAAAAAAGCCATGCTTCTATAAAAAATAACAACAATGCTACAATTATTTATTGCTCTGAATCGTGCAATAAAAATCAAACCATTTACACAAGGTGGATATTTTAACAGGCAGAAACATGAAAAAATCTATACTAGCTTCTATTCACAGCAGGTTCAGTTAATTTCTTCTGAGCAGAAGAATTTACAGGTTAGAGCTCTTCACCTCCTTCAGCAGTTCAACACTCAGATTGCCATGGTACACTGCAAGAACTAGAAGGAAAAATACTGAAATAGGTAACTCATAAGAAAAAAAACATATGGAAATTGTTAATGAATTACTAGAACAACAGGCATTATTAACCAGATTATATAAAGAGTTCAAGAACAGTTTGTCTCTGTTTTATCTAAGGGAAAACAATCCCAACTCAAAATGTAGAAACAACTTGGGACCTGTCTACTATATGAAGATCTTAAGATGTGACTACAGAATTACAGAGGAGAAAAATATACAATTTGTTTTTAATCATTGCAGACTTTTAAATTGCTCAGACTTTTTAATTATTCTGTGTATGTATCATAAATGTACATGGAATTGTGCAGCGTATAGTCAGTGCCATGTAGGAAACAGATAACTGTTGCAATTTACAGGTGTGATCTGGCAAATACTTTGTATTACAGCAGTCAGTAGTCCCACTGACATCAACTAAACTATTTTTTATTACCCTACTGCTTCCATATACTTCTATCATTTCATAATGTGCAGACCCTTAGGACACAACTAGAGTGATAATCCACACTTGCTTAACTTTAACATGGGAATAGTTCCACTGAATTCATCATGGGCTTATGTTTTTGTAGAATGAAAGCCATAGAAGCTTTATATTAGGGATGTTCTTAGTAGTTCTCGGGGGGGGGGGGGGGATGAATATGAATTCAGCCAAAGAGTTAATACCCAAGCAAACATTCTGATAAGGCTGTAAAAATGTTAAGAAAAATAACATTTGGAAGCCAAATTTGAAGAGTGTGGTTCAAGTCTGTCATTTGTAACAAAAGCCTTTTCTTCTATATCTTTACAAAGCTAGTACTTTACCTAAAGATACTTACATCATCATATACAAAATTCACAAATCCCTGTTGCATGTTGTCTCTTCTCCTGAAAAAGTCTTAGAAAAGAATAAGACACTTAAGTAACTATAGCTATGCAAATCTCGACATTTTCTACGTCTATATTTTATAAAGCACGTAAGTTCAGCTAGCAATACTGCTTTTATTTCTCTTGTTTTTCAAGCAAAGTTCCCATCGCTTTTGAATAACTTAAATAATTCTTCTTTCTTTCCTTTCACATTTAAGCTAATGCTGCAGTGAAAAAATAAGAAAAGCAAAATGTTACTTTCTATATTTTGCAAATGCTGATCAACTATTCCTCAAAATACTAAAGATAATTTTTAAAATGCAGTAATAAAAACCTGAAAAACTACATATAAAGGAACTTCCACAGCTATTACCATTTTTAGTTGAGAAAATGTTAAGAGTACATACAGCACAGATAATTAAAAAATACAGTACCTGTCAATGTCCGTAGCTTCACACAGCAAGCCACATAGTCATCAAAAAAGATTCGGCCATTCTTGCTATAGCGTTTCACAATTGCAGCTAGTGTTTGAGGGCTTAACCTATAACCTAGAAAGCCAAAAAAAGAGAAAATTATAGGAACGCTGTGAGAAGCTCTCATCCACTTTCGTAACTCTGGAAAACTTGAAACATAGTCCAAGATGATGGGGAAGAATATTCCTGTTTTGGTATTCCAGGTCTTTCAAGATGTATACCTTTAAAAAATACCATATTTATTTGCACACCACACACCCAAATAAGATATGCACTTTGTTTTCAGAAAGGAGAATGAAGAAAAAAGATTTTCCTAGAATCTTCCCTACCATGGCACTGGCTCAGTCTGGTGTGTATCCTCTACTCTATGAAGCATGCGCAGAGTCCTGTCATCAGTTTCCCTCCCTCTCCTGCTGCTCGACCAAGACCCTCTGCCAATTCAGCAGTGGTAAGGGTGTTAAACCTGTCTGTATTTATCACAGCTTCTGCAAATATCTTTATACTCAGCTGAGATGCTGCCCCCATAAGATCTTATTGAATAGGTATACCCACTACAAACTGCATATTGGAAATACTATAACCTGCTATTCACTGTGGTAAAACACAAACTGCATGCTAGATAACAAACATTAGGCTTCAGAAGTTTTCAAAAAAGTATCTTACCCATAGCTGCAATGACTTGAGTCAACGCATGAAGTTCCACAGTTCCACTTCTGTCTTGGTCAATCATCATGAAGTTTTGCTTCCAGGCGTTAAGAGCTGCCCAGAGTTCTTTGAATTCGTTAAAACCCATTTTTCCTGTATAATCTCTCTAATTGTTTGGTTAACAAAAATAACTTAGAACTTGGAAAACAGCTAACCTAAGACAGAAAACCTCATTATGAAGTTACAAGATTTATGTACTTTTTAACCACTAAGGCAACAATACTACTACCAACCACATTGACAACATGTAACCAATTCTGGGCAACATTATAAAAGGACAGAACTCAAAGACAGTGTTCTAAAACATATTAATTTAGTGTCCTGAAGTTCAAGTTTCTTACATATGAACACTATTGGTTCAGAATGACATAAAAACTTTAATATTCTATACGTTTCCTCAAGGATACATCCAACATAGAGATCATAATTCTGCAAGTCTCCAAGCTGAAGGCTGAAAAATATAGTCAAAGACTGATTCAATACCAGCTCAATCTTACTGATGTCATTTATAGTAACTACTGCAGTTTCAGTGGACATAGTTAACACACAAGTTAGCACTTTGCTTTTGCTACAACAGTATGGAAAGATGATCAGAAAAAAAAAAACAAAATTCAGTAGGAAGATAGGTAACAAAACACTAGCTATTAAACAGATTTTAATGTCGTCTGAAGAATGAAATGAAGAACTAAAGTTCACTTCTTGGTAGAGTTCTCCGTCTCACAATTTACTAATTCAGTATTGGCAGGACAAAGAGAAAGAGACACATGGAAACCAAGGCTGCTGAAATGTGGGGGGAAAAAATCTAAATGGAACTTAACTTTCAATTTGGCGCACCCCCATGCCAAGTGCACCACAGGCCCAGACGAGGAGCTACGTCAGCTTGACCCAGCTTGCCCAATATCTGTACAGACTGCATGCTTCAGCTGGGCTTTTTGGCACTTTTATCTAATAGCTGATTGAATGCCCCGCTGAATACAGGCATTGGGCAAGCCAGATCAAACTGACGTGGCTTCTCTTTCAGTAAAGCACTGGGGTTTTTTGTCCATGTCTATCAGCAACCCAAAGTACCATCTCTTCTTAGCACCTTAGAATGAAGCTACAATCAACAGGGCAATGTCCAGGCCAAACAATACCACTTTAAGAACGTTAAGGTTTCTTATTAGAAGTATAACTTATATAGCAAAGTGTTTTTTTATCCAAAATAAAACTATATAATATAACTATGGAATTGGTCTGCCTCTGAATAAAAAAGTGTTAATATGTGTTCTAGCTAACTCTTTCACCATGTTATCTCATTCAAAGGATTCCAAAGAAAGGGTAAAGTCTGGGATGGCATTCACACCCTCCAGTGCCCGGGCCTTGTGAATCCAAACATTTGTTTTCTGGTGTGCTAAGCATGAAAATTAGAAAAGTTCACTGGTGCTATTATACAGATGAACTCTACCTGTGCTGATCTTCAGAACTGATACTGAGGACTGAGACATTTCCTTAAGAGTATGAAAAGGACAAATGGAAGTTTGAGACAAGAATGAAATTAAATGTCATACGTGAGAGTAGGAAGAATAATGTTCCTTTGTGAATAAAACTTTCAAAAACTGTTCACAAATTGAAAACAACATATGGTAGCAACATTCGGTGTCTTACGAGAATAGGTCCCACTGATTCCAGAGTGCATTAAACACATCTGTAGCTCCTCAGCATCCACTTCCCCATCCTGCGGAAGAAAGTGCATAAACTTGTGGTCACGGATATTTGACAATGAAAATCCACTTGCAAAAAATAATATACAGATATTTAACCAAAAACAAAAGGATTTAATTCATTATAACTATGTAATAATATTCTAAAAATCTACTGTAGAAGTATCTCTCATCGTAATATGCAGCGCTAAAATTACATACTAGTATTTCTTGCCTTTGGCAATTAAATTAAATCCTCCTGTCTGTTTTAGCAAAAAAACACTCATTCATATACATTAAAATAAAATTAATCTTCAGCATTACTACAGTTACAGTGACATCTTCTAATGATACAGACTTTTTAAACGGTGGCTGATACTGAAAGCAAATTATTGCTTAAATTATACATTCTGCACTGACTTGTGCTGTTTTCACAATTTTAATTTAACTGAAATTCTTCTATAAAGTATTTCTATAAAGGCCTCTAGTTTGAACTAATTAAAAAAATCAATTTTACCAATTGCATCTCTGCTGTTATTTCAAGGATCATCTGTAGACTTCTTTCTGTTCCTTTGGTTAAAGCACACAGTAAAACTAACATTCTAACCATCTGTCATCAAACAGCCTATGATGCGATTAGCAACTGGGATGTTATTCTTAATTGTCTGGCTAAACCCTAATTTGACAGTTGTAAGCCAACTCTCTTCTGTAGTTAAGCTAGGCAACACTTTTCCTTTCCTGACCAAATTACTGTGCAGTGCTGCTGTGCTGTTTTAAATTACTTGTATTTGCTTCCTTTTACAAAAATTCAAAACTGAACAAAACCCCACTAAGAGCTACCATGTTCTACACTGGAGTTGGTGGCAGCTGCATTTCAGTAATGGCCAAGTGATTTCAGTGTATATAGTGCTGCCAAGCACTTTGGCGTATCTCAGGCAGAAAGGTAATAAATAGGACTTTAAGGCTGTCCTTAAATTAACCATCTAACATGCATGACGTGTGACTAACACAGAAAGGTTTCATTTGTTAGCCCATTTACTATTACTTTTTATGCTCCCTCTGGTGTTTTTCAGCTATGTTCCCAGGATTACAGTCTGTGAAGTAACTCCACAGAGCACTTCAAGAAGCTGGGTAGAAAAAAAAAGTATGCTCCTTTTCATTGCCAACACTGATTATGTATTCATTGGAACAGTACAGATAAGAACAATATGGAGAGGTGAACCTGAAAGCTTAACATCCCAGATAGGTATGTGCTAACCAGATCTTTGAAAAACCCAAGGCCAAACAGTAACAGTCTTCAAGATACCCATATCTGATGTTCTAAAAAGGAGTCTCTAAAGCCAAAATCTCATGAGGCAAGTGAATGTAACAGGAAGATCATCTTTAGTAAACACATGATAAAGGACTTTAAACTGGATTCTCCCAGATATATTGTGAGCTTTATAGAAAGGTCCTATCAGCTGCGCTTCCACCCTGTCTTCAAACTAAAAACTAAGGGCAACACGCTATGTTTTGTGGCTCATCAGTAAGTATAAGTGCCTGACACATTAAGCAGATCTTGCATTAGGTAGGCTGTCAGACTCCATGACAGGAAAGCAGCACTTTTGACTGTGTAGCGCATGAGCATACCACGTAAGTGCATAATTTCCTTAACTGTATAACACAATGCCATTCCTAATTTGTTGTCTACTGCTTACATTTGTAACAAACTCTGAATACTGGTATATTGGCTAAGAGTACAAACCACTTAAGTGCACAGCTTCTTTCAGCCCCACTGTCCTCTTTATAACTTAACTGCCCTCTGGCTAAATGTATGCTAATTGTAAACGTCTATTTTGTAACTAATTGTACTCCTTTTAACTGTTTCAGAAACAGTGACGGGGAGCAGCTGTCAAAGGGCTGTTATTAGATGTCTTGAAAATGACAAGAGCTAGTCACTTTCACAGATGCTATCTGCCCTCATAACCAGAGTTTCTAATAGCAGCCCCAACAGTGACTGCTGTGAAAAAATGAGAGAAGATAGTAACCCCAAAACTGACTTACATCACAGCACAGGCAGTGCTGTAAGCAATGCTTGCTAAGCATTATCAGTGCTGTGGTATTAGCAGCCCTCAAAATGACTGGCTCCGCTCATTTGGAACACTTCTAATACGGGCTATTAGAAGCCTTCAAAATGAAGGGAGATGGTAGTTTCAGGCCAGCCGATACCACAGCATTTGCAGTACTGTGCATTTAACTAAAATTGTTTACATCAGGAAGCAGTAACCTGCAGCCTACGGGCTGGAATCTGCCCACAGAACCATTGGATCTGGCCCACGGACATGGGGTTTCAGTGCCATTCGGTGGCAGGGGGCTCTAGCTGTGGGTGCTTTCCTTATGCCAACACAGAAACAAGCAGCAGCTGCATCCCAGGGCCTGCCCACCTGCCTCTCATGAACCGCAGGTCATTCTGACCTGCAGCTGGAAAAGGTTGCCTACACCTGTTTTACATTAAGTTACCTTTTCCAGGTAAGCGAAAAACTTTTTTTTCCAATCCTGAGGCTGTGCACTTAAGTGGAGTACACTGTACTTACAAACACATTCTATGTAGCTTTTACAAAATATGTATTATTACTTTGAAATTATTGTAGCCAACATAAACAGGAAAGAATTTTTGGTGAGCTTGTCTCATAAGTAATTGGAATTATGTTTTCCCCTGGGGTTTAAACCCCATGTTCTTTCACACTTGACCCGTTAGTCTGTATATTATCCAATAGGAAAGGCCAAAGACAGCAAACTCTGAGAAGAGAAAGTCCCCACAATCAGAATTACCTGGTAAGACTCATACATTTATATCACTGGATTTAATGAAGGAATATCCTCATCTCGAAGGGGAAAGGGGTATTCTATTTGCATGGAGCACTAACTACTGAACTTCACACATTGCTATGTTATAGAAGGGGTTATTAACATCAGGCAGACAACATACATAGTCACATGCTCTCTACTAACTCTCTGCCTAAGAGGCAGTATTGGCAGGACTTAAGAGTAAGTGTGTCTGGCTTTACTGAACTGAGAAACTCTACAATGTTGAGCCTACATTCTCAGAGAGTGAGGACATTTTTTCAGTGGGTAAGCTCACACAAAAGGAGAGAGGATGAAGAGAAAGAAGAGAACTGATTAGCTTAAATTTTAGTGAGGTGAATATTATATTTCTGAATCTTATTTACTAGCCATATCAATAGTATGATGAAACTCAGAAATATAGTTTTCCCTTTTGACCCTCCCCACAAAAACAATTAAATCCCCATGTTTCTATGAATTTCTACCTGCTTAGTTCTTTGAGAGTCAAGGCCAGCACTTCCATCACCCCACTGGTCTTGCTACATGGTAGATGACAGATTGTGGTTATATGCCATGTACTTCAGGAGTGAATGTGTATTCCCCCTACAAAAAACTAAATTTACTACTGTATTATATTTGAGATTTAAAAAATGAAAAAAAAAAAAAACTTCTAAAGATCAGAAAACGCTCAGTTAACATTTCAAAAGGGTTTAATAAAAATCTTAATTCTGTGCCTTATCCACATAATTTAAGTAGGAGCTTCTGTTACATAGTTCTACAAACAGATGTTCATGCAAGTTAGAAAGATTAATACAAGCATCAAGGTCTGTCATGTCATAAAGCAGTTACTGCCCATGAAATGGAAATATGGAATACTGGACAATAGTAGCCAGCTTTGTAATCTACTTTTACTTAAATGGTGTAATAATTCCCGCAAATAGGTCTGGAATAGAATGAACTGCAACTGCAGAGAGAATGCAGGTTTCCACATGGAAGATACAAAGTTTTTCTTACTATCCTTTTGCAGACCACTATGAATGAAGCATGCTATTTCAGAATTATTGGAGAAAAAACAGGAAACAACAGAAACATGCTACGCGTTCTGATTTCTGTAGTTCAAAAATCAGTTTCTCACATTGAGAATGGAATGGCCTCTGCAAACTAAGAAACATGCTCACTCTCACGACTTCATTATAAAGCACACCCCAAGTACTATAAGGGGCAAACAGGTTGCTTATCTGTATCTTAGCAAGTCTCCAATATTACTTATTTCTAGAACACACTCATTCAGCAACTTCTTCATTTGAGAGTTTGTCCACTCTGCTGTTTAGGATTATGTGGACTTGCATCTTTCAGCAAGTGCATTTATATTTTGGGGCATGCATGATCTAAGCTTAAATGTTATGCCTGTAAAACACAATCTTGATTCAACCTGGTTTTGAATTCACTAAGTCTACGTAACATACTAGAGGACACAGTACCAAAGTATGTATATCCTTACACAACATTACCAAAGAACTTGGCTGTCAAAAACCAAGTGACCTTTAAAGAAAGTTATTTTCAGAGACAGACTCCTGGAAACTAGTAAGAAATCTTTATTAGACTAAAAGTTGTAAAAGCTGCAAATGGAGAATCAAGATTGCCTTTGCCTAGTTTCAATTTCCTATTTGTCAGGGTGAAGGATATTCATGATTTTAGGAACGGGGAAGATTTTTAATTCAAATTTTATTTTTAGCTAACAGTTCAATTTAAATGCATCAAAAACACACAATCCTCACTCTAAAAGCAGTCAGCTGGTTTTCTCTCTCCAACCACTTTATGTTTATGAATTTATCTTATAACCTTGCTAGGCACTACTTTGAATCCTGAATAGAAGTGGGGGGCTATTTCAGTCCTTTTCCTCCTATTTCTCTTTCTTTTAGGCAGACAGCAAGTCAGACTTATTACTTTTCCCTTTTATTTTCTTCCCTCAGCTAGTAATTCAGTTACCCACTAAGGAATCAGATGCAGCTGCCCTCCAAAACCACCAGGCAGCCAAGGAAAGACAGAAGTATTTGAAGTAATTGTTGGAGGTGCTTCTCCCAATCTGTTAAAGGCCTATCACAGCCTCTCTCCATCTTGGAAAACACCGGATCCACAGCTGCTTATTATGCTTGGAACAATAGTGTGAAACTCACAGAAATCTTATTGGGGCCACTGCTTCCCCTGCTCAAGTTAAGGGGGAACATGATAGCAGTTCCAAAGACGGGAAAGGCCAACATAAAGAATATAAAGTAACACAGTTTTCCCCTGCTACACAGCAGGGCATATGGGAATGAGTTTAAACTACTAGATCAAAACTCAGGAAAGCACTTCCTCACTGTAAAAACAATAGGATAGTGGAATGAGCTGCTTGGGGGAGTTGTAGAATCTCCTTCATTGGAGGCTTTAAAAAACAGACTGAATAGGCATCTGTCTGGGATGGATTAGGAATAATGAATCCTGTATCTATGCAACAGGATGGACACACTAACTTTAATGATCTCTTCCAATCCTATGATTTAAGATGCACTGTGGGTCCAAGCCTCAAAAGTCAATAGCAAAACTATCATTTTTTAATAATAACTATTACCATATATAACAAAGACACAAGCTATGCACTCAGGCTCGAGTCCTGTGAATGGGAATGTATGCACAGGCATAAAACTTTGCACCTTTAAGACCAGGAGAACAGTCTGAAGTGAGCACTCTTACTAGCGCACAGAAGCCCTAATACTATTCCAGTCAGACAGAAAATGACAGTTCCTCGGCAGCATCAATTTTTGTTGCATTCTCCAATATAGAATACTCAAATACAGGTCTTCAATTCAGTGGTAAACATGAAGCTCCACCTAGCCTCTAATCAGTAAGACTCCAAATGTCCTTCCAAGGGAAGTCATAAATGTCACAGTTGGGACCATTTAATTATAATGCCTTGTCATGTCTTTCCAGAAAGTATGACATCCTAGAAAGCATGACAATATCTTGAGTATCATTAGGGAAGGAACAGAACCAAGAGAGATCAGACATTGCTCTAGTGTGGCTCTGCAGCAATTTTCATATGATTTCAGGACTTAAGAATGCAATACAACAACACTCCAATCCATTAAAAATCTTGTTGCTCTATAGGCTGTAGCTGTTATATAGCTTATTAGCCCAATGCAATTGATTACTTCCATCGGCTCCTGCTTTCACAGGTAGGTAGGGACAAAGGAAGGATATGACTCCTCTCAAAAACATAAAATAAAGGTGTTCTGCACCAAAGGAGAAATGAAGGAGAAAAGTTAGTTAGGAAAGCAAATCAAGGCAACACAAAGCATCTGTATTCTTGGGAGCTGAAGTCAAGCAAGAAGTTGAGAATCACAGCCTCAATTTGTAAAAACTGCAATTTAAAATTGCCAAAAGTAAACAGCAGCTCCTCTAATCTAGAAAAGAAGGTCACTCACCTATAACTGGAGATCTTCAATTACACTGCCTCTGTAGATCCACGCTCTTGGGAAGGTGCGTATTGGCACCACAAATCCCAGAACCTTCTAGAGAACAGTTACCTGTGGGGCCATGCACATGACCTCTGTGAATCCTTGCCAACCCACACTGGCCCCCAGATCTCTTTTTCCAGTCCACAAATTTGCTGCCACTTACTCTTTGTTCTGTTACTACTGCTCCCATTACAGGCTTATAATGCAGACTGGAAAAACTTAAGAGAACCTATTTTTGTCCCCATCCAATAAAACTGGTGAGTATTTAATACAATACTCTCAGTGTTTAACATGCCTATCTTATACCATGCCACTGGTATTTTCAAAGCTTCACAACCATGCTCCTGTCTAAGCCAGTCGCTAGGGGTACACCGACAGAGATTTTTGGGGCCAATACCGATAGCCAATTTTTAAGGTGGCATATCGGCCAATACTAATACATTTTCCAATACAGCTGCATGCAGCTGGTAAGTCTGTTGTGGTAGATGGGGGAGGGAAGACGTGTGGGTGGGCCAGTCAAGGCCCCTAAGGTGAGAGAGGGAGTAGGGCAAGGACAGGGGCAGGCGCTGCCCAGCAGGGGTGGGATGCGGCACTGGACAGAGCTGTGGCTCATCTGGGAGGCACAGGGTGGGGGGCGGTTCAAGCTGCTACGCACACCCCAGGAGGGCACAGGGGGGTGGGCATGTCCCCCAGATCTGCCTGGAGGGGGCGGGGGAGGCTGCAGGCTCAGGATGGGGCCAGGGCTGCACTAGGCTCTTCCTGGTGCAAGGGAGTTGGGGGAGGGGCTGGGCCAGGCTGTGCTGTGCTTGGGGCAGATGGCAGCAGCACTGGGAGGAGGGTTATGGGGGGGGGCTGCAGCCACCCCAAATTTCACTGTAGATCCCCCCCATAGCCCTCTCCCAGCACTGTCACTGCCTGCCTTGAGCACCTTGAGCGCAGCCCACAGCTGCAGCCTACCCCACTGTACAGACCTGGAGGCACACCTCTTCCCCAGCAGGAACCACCCTCCTGCCCCACGCTCCCCAAATAAGCTATGGCTCTGTCCCACACCCCATCCCACCCCAGCTGAGCAGTGCCTGCCTCACACAGCCTCCCTCACCATGGAGGGGTTGATCTGTCCCCACTCACAACACTTCCCTCCCCCCTCCCCTTCCAACACAACAGACTTACCAGCTGCATGCAGTTCTCTAAGCTGCTGGGCTGTGCTCCTTGCTGCCTACATGCTGCGCTGCAGCTGTGTACATGCACAAGCATTTATCGGCCAAATTATCAGCCACATCAGGCTGATTTCCAATACAATCAATTTCTTTATATCAGTGCCAATCCAATATCAAACCAATGTATCAATGCACCTCTAAACTTATAGAAATGTAAGTGAGTCTAGCTTGTTGATGACAGAGTATATCTGCCAAGTCTCCAAAAGTCTGAATTTCACTTTTTTATTTCTGGGGTGCAGTGAGTTTGTGTAAAGTAACTGGCTGTTCCCTAAGCACTTTTGAAGAACTATATTATTTCAAATGTTCAAGTTTCAAGTTTGGTTTTTAAAAATAATAAAAAATATAGTAACAAAGGACAAAACTCATTTACAAGTCACCACTAGCATTAGCCTCTGTTACTATTCATGAACAATATAAAAGTTTAATTAATTGAGGTTAGGGGATGCCAGTTAGAAATTAAAGTGCCAATTTTGATTACAATTATTGTCATATACTCGCCAGTTTTACCTAAAAATGATTCTTACTTTGAGAGCTTTCACATCACTCAGCTGAGCAAGGTGTTCAGTTTCTTTTAGAGAGAGAGAAAATTGGTAGGTCTAATTCATCATACAGCTAACTTAATTACATTGCTTGTATCACCTTACCTGTCCAGCAACAGCAGTGAAGTAAATCCACATGGGGTCAGCAGCAGCAGAATAAGTACCAGAATATGCAGAATATCCAGAGTATCCAGCATAAGACATATTTGGTACTGCTCCTGGCATTGGCTGTCTCACTGCCATTTGCATTCTAGGCATCTGACCACTGTAACTTCCATACTTTTGTGAAAGAAGAGAAATATGTTAGTGTCTTCAACAGCTCAATACATTGTAACAGATTTCCATTTACAAGGAATGTCAATTTCTGGATGTACTTTTCTTAATACACCTATTGCACAACCTAATTCAAATACCTATGGCATCCCAAATTCAAACTCACATCTGAACACTCTGGCATATGGTCTGCTTCAAAAAAGATTGCACAAAAGCTGCATGATCACTTGGCATGTTCTAATTCAAAGTTCTTGGAACCGTTTAACATACTTGTAAGTGCAAGGCTGTAAATTGTACTGCAAAAAGACATCTTACACAAGCAAAGTAAAATTATTTCCCAAAAAGAAACAATCACTAAGTAGAGATGCCATTGCCATTTGTAGATGAGCCACATTATGGATATTAGCAAACCCAAACCTTCTTTTTATTTCCTGTTTTTTTCAAGAGTTAATCATTTGGATAGCCTGACCAAATTCCAGGCTGGATAATTAAATTCAATCTTTTTTAATACCCCCTATTGTTTCTACTGGATATTATATTCTTCATTCCTGTGCTAAACTGTTATTTAAACTAGTAATCTACCCTATTTCAGCAGCAGACCTTAAACTTGATAAACTGAACAAGGAAACCACATTGTGATTTCAGAGTGAGCATCTAACTACTAAAATCAAGTTTAGAAGTCTTTTTTTCCTTAAGTCTTTCCTTATGGATAAGGCCATATTATAGATATCCTGAAAAAGGTTAATTATTTTTATTGCTATGAACATAAAGTCTGAAAGATTTTGTTCAACTCAGTGTGACCTGAGTTAGAGAACATGAGAAGAACAGTAGAGGTACACCGATATACCGGTTGCCTATCAGATCAGTACTGATAAAGGGAAAATTTACATTATTGGCTTTTATTATCAGTTGCAGCCAATAATGTTGTCCGATAATTATGCCCTCTGGCCAGGGCCTGGGTTCCTTCTCGTCCACAGAACTAGGGTCTCTGGATGCCTGGGTTCCCTCCTGCGAGCCAGGGTGACCCCAGATACACCCCCATCCCCTCACCAACATGCCGGGCTGGGCTGGAATGGAGCAGCTGCCATGGTGTCCCGGGCACTGGAGCAGCATGGACTAGGGCCAGAATGGGCACTGTAAAAGGTCCCAAATGCTGCAGACGTGACTGGGGCAGGGAGAGGCAGGAGGAGCTTAGTTGCGTGGCCTGGCCCAGCATGACTCAACCTGCAATTAATATCGGTTATTGGATCGGTATTGCCCGATAGCTGATTATTAACCAGCCATATCGGTATTGGTCATAAAATATTTATTGGTGCACCCCTAGAAAATACAGGAGGCATATTGCTTATCAATAAGAAACAGAGCTGCTTATGGAAGCTTCAACAGAAAGCTTTGTCAAAAAGTAGAAAACTGTGCAGAGACAACTAGCTGTCAGGATCAGAGAGCTCTTTTAAAGGCAGCTAGGATGGCCCCAAAGAATTGTACTGTATCAGACAAAAGTCGGGGAACCTGCCCTTTTCATCATGTTTTGAAAGCAGTTTCAGTTCCAAAGAGGGAGATAAAGATATCAAAGCCTTCAAACCCTCATGAAGTAGCCTTTAGAGCCATGGCATTATCTATCCCAATTTTACAAATAAAGTGTACCTTCCAGTATACCAAGGCAAAGAAGCTTCAAGGTAGCAGTAAGGACCTGCAGGTCCAAATGCTCCAGTGGAAGATGAAACTCATGGAGTTAGTCTTAGGGCCTTAGTATACCTTAGGCTGTGACTGGCACAAATGTTTATTGGTGTTAGTGCTAGCTCAAGTTTGGAGCAATCACACTACAGGCCAGCAAGGGCCTGGAGGAGTGAAAGGTAAAAATCCTTCCTCCCATCCCATTCTGGGCTTCCCCTCTGTGGCTATCCCCCTGCTCCTCAGGGTTCCTCCCTGTCACCAAATTCCTTACTTGTGGCTGTCTGTACCAGAGCAACAGGCAGGGAAGGGTTAACCACCCCCAGCTCCCCTGGGACAGACAGAGCAGACAGCCACAGGTAAGCAGGAGACAGGGATTCCTGGTGAGCCTGGATCTGGGGGAGGTGGGTGGGTGGAGAGGCAGTGGGTTCAATCTGGGCTAGTGGGGAAGGGGGGCATGTGGGATGTTGTTTTCAAGATCAGAAATAATCCTGTCCTGGAGGGGGATAACTTTGAGCCACATAACAAGTGCTTGAAACCAATTTCAGGTGTTATTTATTGCGCAGACAATCCAGGGGTTAAGAGCTCCAGGAGCTGCTCCATTGTGTAACAAGGCCCTAAAATTACTAAAGCTGAAAGAAGACAGCTGAACCCCTAAGAAATTTAGTCTGTTTTATGTGACTTACAAAAGAACAGACTGTGGAAACAAGACAAAAGTCTCTATAAAGTCATTCTTTTTAGAGCTTGTAAATATCTGAATCCTGAAGGACAAACTTCTGTATGTGCTTAGTTTTAATGGTTGCAAACATACTAGAAACTTGTGACATGGATGATTTTTTGTCCCATTCTGAATCATAGCTACAAGTTACAAGTGGATGAGTCTCTGCTGCAGCATCACTCCTCAGGTGGTTATTAGTGAACCTACTTCTGGTCCATCTTAAACCTCTGCTAGGGATGTCAGAAATAGTGTAAAGTGTGATGTATGTTTGCAGATAATACACTTCTGGAAAAATAGGACAAGATATCATCTAATCCCATTCCCTATTCAAGCTTCCTCATCTAAATTTTTCCAGAGAAGCATTTTGTCTAATCTGCTCTTAAAACCTTTCAGTGATGGAGATTCCACAATACGTACGCGTTACAGAGATGGAATTCCAAACTTCACACAATGATTTGGGGGTTGCCTTTAAAACAGCAACATATAGGTTCAGCCACCTAACTAATTATCCCACATATACTGGTAGAACTGCTCAATGTGAAAAGATGTATGAGCTGGTTTTATTTTATTTTTTTCAGTTCAATGCATCTGTTGTTCCCTGCTAAGAACCATTAGCAACAACCTGGTCAGCTCTCAAGTCCTGACTCTTGCCTCAGTGGCCTCCCTTTCTAAGGGAGGCTTATAGTTCTTGGGGAGCAATGGCCTGGGATCCCTGAAAAGTAGCAAGTAGGCTGGACACTTTTGCCAAGCAGTCTTTGGCTTGATGAATCTGAGAACGTTGTGAGTTGGAGTTATTATGCAGCCAGTCTTTACCCATCTTCGTATTTCATTCTCATGTACTTTAGTTGGTCTTTTCAAACGATACTGACGCAGGGTCAAATGGCTACAAACTGCCTATGGATAATTTTAGACTGGAAAATTAAAAGACTTCTGATTCTGAGAAGAATAACATTTTGGAAAGGTCTTTCTTTCCTGAAGCACATCCTGTTGGACAAGAAACAAATGCAAGTCTCAGCCTGCGTGGAGACGCAGGGACCCTGCCCCTCTGACACAGAACTGGACGTGCCTCTGGAGGAGAAGGGATCTGCCGAGGGAGCCCCGCATGTGGGGTGTGGGGCTGCGCTGCATGCCCCCACGTGGGTAGAAAGGTCGTTTTTACAGGGTGGAAGCTATTTGGCGATCCCAGGCTCAGGGCTCTTGCTGGCAGCCAGCGAGAACCAGATGAGAACCAGGAAGTATTTCCCCCACCACGTAAATGCGACTGGCTTCTGGGTTTGGGGCATGGTGATTTTTGTGTGGTTTGGTTTGGTTTGGGGCCTTCCCTCCAGGCGCTGGGATGCCCCTGCAGGTACTTGGGAAACCAGCTGCCGAGGGGGGTGGTCACGCGGACTGCCGGATTTGGGAGCAGGGAGGAATCTCTGCTCCAGGCCCCGCGGGGAAGGAAGGGAAGCGGGCGGGGGTGGCTGGGGCGCCCCCCGCTGCAGCTGGGCCGGGGGCCGCGCT